ATAATCTAATCCAGATTATTTCATAGAGGATTCTACGGAATCCCTCCAGTAATTCTAAGAAAAGAATTAGAGTATTAGAGAATTTTGGAACTTTGATAATAGAAGCTAATCAGAATTGTTTTACACATGATTTTTCAGAAACCTTGCAGTAATTCTAAGGAATGATTTAATGGGACTATTAGAGAGTATTGAAGTTATTAAGAGATGATTCTCCAGAAACCTTTTCAATTATCCAAAGAATGATGCAGAAAGAATGTTGCACTCGTACTTATGGGATTTTTAACTAGTTAATTGCATTTATAATATTATTATGTAGTACTAGACACTACTAGTTGTAATAAATAATTACTATTATTATCATATATTTTGTCATTGTGGGTATTATTCTACTATGTGGGTATTTAAATTCTTCTATTATGTTTTGTTTAATTTTGTGGAATATGTATATTACACTACATTATGTTAACTATTAATTTATTTTAGTTTATAAATAGCATGTCATATTTATCTTTATTTATCGCAAATGAACCCATTGAATACATTTAAATTAAATATATTCAGCATAATATTCACTTCTGAAATGCATTACAAATATATTTTATCTACAGTTCTCACATAAATTAGTCATATACTGGCTTTAAATTTTAATTTTAGAATTTCTCAAAATAAAAATAAAATATCTGAGAATTCAATATCAGCATAGCATTTAAAAACATAATGGATGATGATAATGACTATTTGTCATTGTGATGGAGTGCAGCATATGACGGATAGCACAGCTGCTTTTTTAAATTCCCAACATATTTTAGATATCATCCCTACAGCATCTGTTGTTATTCTCGTAAACTAAAGTAAGCCTCAGAGAGTCTGCAGGCGATCCTTGCACCCGCATCTGACCTTCGCTGATTAAGCAAAAACAAAGGCTCAACACATCATTTTCGAAGCCACGTAATTCAATTACTCAAATTGAAAGAATCCCAATGGTTTTAACTTTCAGTCATAATGACAACCGATTTAAACTCAACTCTTTTAAACTCAAAGATCTGTGCTACTGCAAATGAATTGAATTTTGGAATTTCGTTGAGTTTCTATAGGAAATAAACAAAAAATCATATGAATTATTAAAATCACGTTATGGAGCATGGAAGTATGAAATGAGAGAACGTCGAGAAATGTATGAATCTCTTGAATTTTAATTTATGCGCAGACAGCGATTTCACCGCCCAAGCTTAACCATTTTCCCTTTGCAATATACAATATTTCATCCATTCACGCATCCCTACATATCATCAGGCGTTTACTATTCCAATATGCGTTGTGTGTACCGGCGGTTTTCTTGGAGTTTCTCAGCTCGCAAAACTACTGTACGCGTTTGCGTACCTTCTGTATGTTTAAGATTTAGTTTCGCTGTCCCAAGTTTATATAAAATAAAAAGGAATTCCATTTAAATTGAAGATGAAAAATAAAATAAAAAAAGATTTTATAAAATTTCTGGAAACCGTAATTGGATATGCTTGAATTGTAGCTTTTAATTGTAGGCTGGATATCTTAAATTTAAAATTGTTGTTCAAGCTTTACTTGCCGATGATTCTTCAAAAAAAGGGTCATGAGTTTAGTGAGAAACAGAAAAAAGTTTAGCAAAGCCAAAGGAATAATACCCTTCACCCAAATATATTACTATATGTATACGTTTAATCCAGTCCTAGTATGTTGACATACATATTTACAAATACGAACTCTTTTCCGGAAACTATTTTTTTCTATATAAAAAATATATAAATTACTTCTATTTGTCGACTTTTTCTATATATAATAGACTAACAAAAAAGTTCCGGTTGCAACTATTCCATTACTTATTCTTACTTTTCTATCATATAAACTAAAAATTGATGGACTAATTATCAACAAAAATGGAGATAAACGGATATCGCTCAACATACCGACTAAAATCAGTCTTGTAAACTTTTTGAGCAGAAGGAAATACAGATGTGTTTTTAAAACAATAAACCAAAAGTAGTGCCATAAGTAACCAGTTCCTATATTTTTTATAAGCTGTGAAAATAGTCCTCATTGCTGTTCAGCATATATATTATACATGTTGTTTTTGATTATTGATTATATATAAATACCTATGTGCGCGGATTATATTATCTTATTTGTTAATATCATTATTACGATTAAATTGGAGAATTTTGCACTGCGACCTAGAGATCTATTGTGCACCTTATATAAACTCAGGAAATTCCTCCAACTCTTACATCCTAAATAAATTGTAGTGTTACACCTACATTACAGAGTCCTATTTCTTCAGCCTCTAGAAGATGTTTACCTAGGTATTTCTATTGCATATGCAACAGGGACGGTCAAAACGTCAGCACGTGTTTTCAGGTCCTTTTGTTTTCTTAATATTATATCATCAGAATTTTAATAATTATAGTTATATTGGACTTTACAATATCGACATTAAAAAAGGCTTCGCTTATGCATTCACAGCCTGTAATCATTGTAAAATTGGATCCCTATTATTTTCTATATCCGATAGCTAAAACATTCTAATCATAACATTTTTTCAATAATTACTGGATTGAGCCAATATGTTTCTTCTATTATTTTGTAAATATTAAAAGTAGTATTACTCAACTGACCTTAACTCAATAATTAATTGTTATTCCTAAAAATCATTTGTATTGCCTGATAACTACTTCTGGCACTTACGATGTGTTACTAATCATATGAATATTAAGATCTAAAGAGTAAATTAGCAATTAGGTTGTGCTGGCAGACCAAAAGGGCCACGCGTAGATCATTAAGGTTCATTGCGATACCAGATCAGAGTCTTATTTTTAGCGATTGTGTGTGCTCCAGTCCGGTAAAACTGACAGCCTCCAAGTATTTTTGTCGAGTTCTCGAGAAAGCCGGGCAGCTACACAGCAGATGCTCCAGAGTTTCCTAAAGAGTAAAACTTACACTTAAGACGTTCAACAAATAATATTAAAATTTTTATTTATATGTATATAATATATATAATATATTGTACTATAATTTTCCGTCAATTTATAAAATATTTTTATTTATGATTATCTTAAATTCAAATTATTTTAATTTATTCGTTCGTAGGTTGGCCGTGACGTAGCACATCCAGGTGTAGCCAATGATTTCGACGAGGAAGATGCTAAAAAGTATTACACCTATTATCAATGGGTCTGTTTCGTGCTCTTCTTTCAGGTAAGTTTGTATTAATTTTTTCTTTCTGAACATTTGGCAACAGTTTAATTATGGCTTGTCAACAGTAAAAGATTACTTTGTGAAACTCCAAACAGTAGAGCTTACGAGTAGCAATGGAAAAACATTTCAGTTGAGGTTGGCAATAAAATAGAAGCCATTGTTTCTTGTAGTTTACAGTGGAACCAGTCTCAAAAAATTAATTTAAAGTAGAAATGTTGTTCAAGCATTTTTATGACAATTGATATTTAAACAGAAACGTTGCATTGTTTAAAAAAATATTTTATAAAACAAAAATATTTAAACAAAATATTCGATATTCGAAGTCGAAATCAACGTGGTCAGCTGAAATTAAGGAAAGTTGAAAACTCCCTAATTGTCTTGATGTAGCAAATTCTTGACCTCTTAAAAGAATGCTGACTTCTTTCTTTTTTTTTAGCGCACACTTCTATCGATCTATCAAGTGCTACACGTTTTTATTATTGAGGTTTCGCTCCACAATCCAAGCTAAATGAAGATGAATGATTTTTAAATTACATTTCGAATTTTGTGAACTACAATTTTTTACCTCAACGGCGTTATAATTTCTGAAAAGAAAAAAATTTCATTTAAAAAATAAAAAAAAAATTTCATTAGCTTTCGAATGTCTATCAATTTAATTTATGGAATATTCAGTTGGGTAGATAGATGGAAGAGTGACAGAAGTGTGTGCGGGATAATATTTTGAACCAGTTACGAGTGGTCTTCGTAGATAATTTCTTCAATTGTTACTAGTTTTACTTTAAATGATATACTCATATGGATAGTCGGATAACAGCACACACGTATGAAGGCACCGAACTTATGTGCCTTTAAGATACTAAATACTAACGAGACGTCGAGAAAGAAATTGCTTCAATTTTATTTCAATTAAAGTCAATTGAATGCGTACAGAGGCTTCGCATGTATCTGAAGCTTATGCGATGCATGATGTATGATATAATAACCTCGGCTAGTTAAAGATACAATAATCATCAACAATATCATGTCATTCAGAGCTTAGGTTGAATTTATGAATACTAAAATTGTCTAATTTAAACTTAAGCATAATTTTTATTTTTGTATTATATATATCTTTTATATATATAATATAAATATATATAAATACATTTGTAAACATTTACATCTTTACTCTAAAATTTTTAAATAATTCATTTACTTAAAAAATTTCTTTTTAAATCATTATTCGAAATAACTTAGGTTAGGTTAGGTTATACCTGCGATCCCTAGTGGATCCATGGCCCATTGTGTTACCCATTGTGTACAATGGGAAAAACTCAGGATTTAAAACCACCTAAAACCTTTGGCGAAGCCTAAAATGCTATTTAGTACCACGTCTTATAATTAAATACGATCCTCTAGAAAGAGGGGCTCTAAAAGTGTTAATTCGCCGCCGTACCGTCTGCTCAAAAAGTACACGGATTTTGTAAATAAAACACACAAATTTAAATTTTATTCCAAATTTATTTTATCTCCTTCAAAATATGCTCCTTCTAAACCGATACACATATGCCAACGCTTAACTCAATCTTCCATACACTTTTCGTAATCCCGTGAAGGTATGGCTTTTAGTTCCTTCAGCGAATTCTATTTTACCGATTCAATCAACTCAAAACGCTTGCCACGAAGGGGCAATTTAACAGGAAAAAGTCACATGGATCCAGATCTGGCGAATATGGTGCCTGAGCAATGACAGTGGTGCCCTGTTTGGTCAAAACATCGCGTACAACAAGAATTTTCCATAAAATCGCTAAATGCACTTGAGGTCGTTTCACATTAACAGCTGTTGTAAACAAACTAATTGACAGATGGCGCTCAAATTTGTACCATATGTCAAGAAAGGGCGTACCAACATAACGAAAAAATTTCAAAAATCCAGATTCTTTTTATACCTTCTACAGCACTATGTTTCTGTGGTAGGCAAAAACATAGTAGTTTAGAGGCACTCTCATCGTCTTCCCTACAGCTGCGATAGATTTGATTGAAAAGAAGTCGTAATCTTCTAGCAAGCTTCACTAGTTTACAGTGACCTGTAAGTAAATCTACCAAAGAACGATATTTCTACGGGGTATCTCAATTTTGGATTTCTTTTTATTGGAACTAGAAAATTATTTAAAAATGATCAATAATTCAATATGTCTAAAGTAGGATATTTACGATATTAAAAATTAATATTTTTATTAAATATAACTAAAATGGCATATTTATTAAAATTAACTTCAATATATATATACTCTAAATAATTATATATATTAAAAAAATCATATTTATTTTAAAAGAAATTATTTCAGAGTTCATTTCCATAGAATTTTCCTCTTAATTACGGAATTTTATACATAAATTTCATTATGCTCTCATTTAAATTATCTTTAGGCTATATGGGTAAATGCTTCTTCTTAGATATTACATATGTATCTTAAAAATCCATATATATGTATATGTTACTATTGATTTTATAATTACAATATATTGGGTTTTAGTTACCCGCCGCCGCCCGCAGTTATACAAAGCAATTATTAAACCACAAAAGCATATTTGTGGTTTAAAATATTTTGTGGTTTTCGAAATGTTAAAATTTTATAAAAAATAAAATTATTTATAATTATATTTGGTTTAAGTTAACCACACTGAGTTTCTTCGATATATGCTTGTGTGTATCTGGCACAAAGTATCTTATTTCAGACATTCCCAAACAAGATCAATGACCAACTTTTCAACCAGAGCACCGGTATTTATGTTTTTGTAGTGTCTAAACTTAATCCAATAATTTTCGATTTGATTTAAGTTACTTATTTTCATCATATCATATAATTATATGAGTATGTATGTATTTCTAATTATATTATTATTTAATTTTTAAATAACCTACATTTTTAATACTTCAATCATTGTAGGTGAATAGAGTTTCGTAGAGACCGATATGTCTTATTCACTTGCTCAATAAAAATTTATAGTTTAAATTGGACTACATCAAATTACTGTCCTTAATTAAGTACCATACTTAACGTATTACACATTTAATTGATATAGTTGTTATTTCTCTAAAGAAGTAACTAGTACCAGTAGGTACTTCTTATGTAGAAAACTGGGCATTTCATAAATACTTTTAAGTACCCTTTAATGGGCATACTGTTAGACATTATTAACGTTCAATGATCACCTGTATTTTTGAGCTCTCCAATAGTTCACTTGAGGTATCTTACTAAAAAGTTTAAACATTTCAATTTTTGTGACATCCACTGAGGTAGACTCAAATATGTTCTAAATTCTTACATGCAAACCATTACAATAGTTAGTGTATGAACTTCACTCGTCCGAGACATTAAGCATCGATTTAATCAAATTCACTCAGTGTATCGTAGAAATTATGGCTATCACATGTTACAGAGGCTGTCCATAGAACAAACCGGGGTGCTGCCAAGAACGTAGACGATATTTAAAATAACCGACATTTTTTCTCGTAAAGTTACTTTTTGTTTAATGAAAAAAAATTGGTTAGGTTCGGTTATACTAGCGATCATAGCGATCCATTGGCTCATTGTACTATCGTATAAAAATTAAAAGCTTAAAAATCTTGAACTTATGACGAAGTCTGTTTAAAATTAGATCTTATAGTTGGCTAAGATTCTCTAAAAACTAAGCCCTTAGCATGGTTAACGACAAAATAGATATGAGACACTTTCTTTGTCATCTCTACAACAGCGGCAGGAGTCATTAAACGGTATATGCAATCTAGCATGCTTCTATTAACAGCTGTAACACGTCTACAGATCTACCCCAAAACTAACACGTGGTATTTCAGTAAGGTTGTTAAAGTTTTTCCAAATAATTTGCTTATAGATGTATTTATATCCCCTAACTTTTCCATCTTAAATTAAATTAACCAATACGGGAACCTTTCTTGAAGTATTCCTTATAAAGTTCCGGGATAAACACGAGGGGTCTGGCACACGAGGGAGATTGTTTTTAGTTCGTGTAATCGGGCATACCACTATTCTGATACGAAATAGTGAAAATGCGTTAGGTATATGTAACCTCCTCTCTGCACAAAAAAAAAAATATTAAATTGAACAATAAAAAAAGATCTCAATAACTGTTTGCTTAATGTCAAGGGTATCTTCAGACCTATTGATTTGAGCTGGTCCAAATGAGTAAGTGAAGAACGCTTTTTACTCAGCTCATCTAATTGGAATTTGCTTCTTTGTGTGACTGGGAACTCAAAGAAAAGAAATGTTAAACTACTTCGATGTCTCAAACAGAGATGCGTTGCAGTCAACAAGCGGGTTAGATGTTAATAGTATTGAACTCATTAACTTTAAAGTGGATTGACTGGCTGAGATGTAAATGCTTCCATACGTTTATCAAGAACGGAATCGGTTGTTATTAGACGCAATGTTGGCGTAGTGTTGCCACCAATTCAAAAGCTATAGAAATTGATTGTTGTTCAGTTCAGCTAGGCTATATTCATGATCGAAAATCCTTATTTTAATTACTTAACTATGTACAATTTGATATACCAAGCTTTTAACAGAAGTTAAGATAAATTTTTGCTTATACTTACACATCTAAAAATTTTCCAATTAAAATTTTAATAATAAATCACTTATCTGTTTTCAGGCCATTGCCTGTTACACTCCCAAATTTCTTTGGGACAAATTCGAAGGTGGTTTAATGCGAATGATTGTGATGGGCTTGAACATAACTATCTGCACTCGCGAAGAGAAAGAAGCCAAGCGTGATGCCTTACTGGATTATTTAATCAAGCATGTTAAGGTAAGTTTTCCAACAAAATTAATTTTCTCTTCTAAGTTTTAAAAAAAAATTTAAATTTTACTATTTCTTAGCGCCATAAACTTTATGCGATGCGTTACTGGTTCTGTGAGGCGCTATGCTTCGTCAACATAATCATACAAATGTACATGATGAATCGTTTCTTTGACGGCGAGTTCCTCTCATATGGTACACGTATTATGCAACTATCTGATGTGCCACAAGAGCAACGCCTTGACCCAATGGTGTACATATTCCCACGCGTAACCAAGTGTATCTTCCATAAATATGGCTCCGGTGGTTCGCTACAGAAACACGACTCACTCTGCATACTGCCGTTGAATATTGTCAATGAAAAGACTTATGTGTTCATTTGGTTCTGGTATATGATATTGCTGTGTCTGTTGCTGGGATTATTGATTTTCCGGTATGTTAACCATAGTAGTGGTTATAACTTGAATATATACTCATTAAAAATATAATATTTTACAGTGCTTGCATCTTCTTTATGCCAAAATTCCGACCACGTTTGCTCAATGCCCGCAATCGCATGATTCCCATGGACGTTTGCCGCTCACTCTCACGCCGTTTGGATATCGGCGACTGGTGGCTCATCTATATGTTGGGCCGCAATCTAGATCCAGTAATTTACAAGGATGTGATGATTGAATTTGCAAAGCAAGTCGAGCCATCGAAGCACGATCGAAAGAAGGACAAGATAAGGGATTACGACAACAAAAACAACTACTGAAGATGGTTCTGTGATTGGGATGCTTTCTATAAATTAGAAATGCAAATTAGAAAAAAAAACAAATAACATAACATATATAAAAATGATTATTACTGATTTTATTTAATTACTGCTAAGAGTAATTCAAGCAAAACTCAATTAATTCAATGATCACAACTCGAATTTTATTTGCCTGGAAATTGGCAAGTGCAAATGAATAAATCCATTATTCAGATATGTCTATATATTACGATTAAGTATAATTTTATTTAATAAATTCTAGGCTAAGTTACGTGAAATTTAGTTCGTCTTCAGATTATTTAAATGTTCGCTTTTGAGTCTTCTTATTCTTGTATAGTTCGAATGTGAGTTAAGCTAAGCATTTTTCATATAAACAATTAAGTTAGTTTTTATTATAGCAAAAACCTGAAACTACGTATAATACTTTGACTAAATATTCACGAGAATATTTGCATAAAAATGTATGTACTTTTAAGTTTATACATATATATATACATATATTTTTAATATGAAATCAATTTTATATTAATTATACAAATACAATATTTTTGTAGACTCTGCAGACTTGGCTTTTATTGATAATCGGAAATTGTTACGTTTTGATTAGCATTTTTATGTAAATTAGTTGTGGTGAGGAATTAAAATTAGTTAACAAAATATTTGACCACAAATATTACAACAATATTTTTCCACTATATTATCACGCCAACATAAACATATCAATTATCATCACTCAGAGATTGCAATCAAGCTGATGAAGGAATGTCATAGAATTTTTCTCTTTTGCTTCTTCGAAGTTGGAGTACAGAACGAGACCAGGGCACCACGGTTAGCAGATCATTGTGCCCAAGCTCAGAAATAGAGAAACTAGACATTGGCCATCTATTATACAACTCATCATGACCACTTTTGGTTCACCAGTTTTGTGCCCTGGGATAATCTAGATCAGTATCTTTAACCCATTTGTCTTAAGTTGCAAGAAAAGTTTTGCCAGTTTCCTGGGAGGCTTCATCACACAGCATTACGTTACTTTATATGACTACCTTTTGGACAAACTGCTCTTGTGGGTAAAGCTTGGAAAGTTATTGAGCTAATAATCGACTCCTGTAAAGTTGGCAGGAGTCGAATATTGGTTCTGGTCCCATAGGTGTCCTAGCAGAACCCTTGTTGAACTTCTACAAAGTTGGCACCAAATATTGGTTCCAATATCATAGGTGTCCTAGCAAAGTTCTTGTTAGCTATGCAATTAGTCAATTAATTTATCCGAAAATTATGTAAGAATAAATTCGTTGTGTTTTTTAATAAGTTAATTTAAATAATTCATTTTTAAGAACTGATGGAGACTATTTGTGTATTTTTCATTCAAAATCTTCAGTTTAGTTTAAAAATTTTTAGTGGACTTCTCTGACTAAAGTAATATTTACTTAAGGCTTACAAATAAAAGAAAAATTCATCGATCGAATGAGGAACTTTGCAACAAAGTGGAGCATACAAGTATATCGAAGTAGGTCCAAAAGTGCGTAACTCAAACAACCCCTTTGCTCCACACTTACTTCCTACCTAATCTACATCCTAACTCATGTATTTATATTAATCATTTCTTTCAAGTCTCCAGCTGTATAGATTTCTTCGATTTACAATAAAAAAATCAGTTCATTTTTCTATAATTTATATCGAAGTAATAGCGGATTTTTAGTACTTTATTGTGTTTAAGTTGTCTTCTTTTACTATTTATTAAATACTTCATGAAAAAGCAGTCAAATCCATCATTAAACAACTAATCCTTCCTTTAACTTGCATAATCTCTCCTCGTTCCTTTATCCTTTCCACAAATTTCATCCAGTCCCATGTATTTGTCCACCAATTCTCTTATGTTTTCTCATCTTTACATATTCACAGGTTAAAATAATATTGAACAACTAAAACCTTGCCAGAGGCATCAAGTTCTCTCATTGGTATATGAGAGTGTCATAATATATTTTAAAAATAATGTTTTAAATCTTTTTAACATCAAAATAAAGCACTCAAAATACTCAAGACACAAAGTTACCCTCTACAGATATAAGCATATCAACCTATAAAACCTTATCTTGTAATATTGACGAGTAAAACTCTGCTATATACGTACATCTACATTAGACAGTCAATTTGACATTTGATACCGGATCGAATGAACCGACTAAGCCAAACAACATCAACTATTAATCTTTAGATTATTGTTATGTTTGAGCAATTTGTATTGCGACCTAGTGATCTATCAAACCTCCCTTAAGGACAATAGTATTTCTCCAAGTCCAACTATCTTTATAAATTGTAGTATTGCATCTTTATTGTAGAGTTTTACTTTTTTGTACGATAAAATATTCCCACTTAGGTACTTCTTTCGTTTAGCACGTGTTTTGAGGTCTCATTCTCTTCCCTACAAAAGCTACAAGTTTCATTA